ATCACCCTTCGAAACAGTAGGGTGAGATTAATTGCTTCCACAATGGTGATCTTTGTATTGGCAACACGCAAGAAAAATGTAGCAAGAGAGTACAATGGAAAAGATGTGCCTTCTCTCCCTTGCTAACCCCAGAGACTTCTTGACTAAAAACCTTGCTGCTAGATGGTGTTGCTAACGAGTTAGCAATGGAAGGAAGCATCAGCAGACAGCTAGGAGAAAGAACTTCACGCTTGCTTAAAAGCCAGCCTTCAACATTCCTTTTTCCCCTCCCAGGGAAAGATGTTTTGGAAGAAGCAATGTAGAACAAATTTCACAGCAAGATCTTGTAAGTAACATTCCTAAGACTTGCAATAAAAATTCTTTGAGTGTGTAAAAAGAGATAGAAAATATGTTTACTTGATATCAGCTTATTAATATACAATGATACTAATGAGAATTTAAACAAAACAAAACAAAAACTGCCATGCTTTTTAAATGCTAGTAGCCACAGGAAAAAGTAGAATAGAATGTAATTCAATCTCCCTACAAAAAGCAAAATTAAAAATGATAATTTTCTTTAGACTTCTTTACCATAGTTAAACCCCCAGGGCGGGGGGGTTGAGCAAGTCTTGTTATTTAAGTGAAATCCTGGAATTTGCATAATAGCCATTACATTTAGGGAGCCTCAGGAGGAAGAGAATTCTCTGGTTACCTTAGAAGTGGGAGCAGCAGTGACACGCTCAAGAGAAGCTCTGTTCTCAGTCTTCAGCATTCAGTGCTGCATCTCACTGCAAAGGATTTCCCCCTGCACTCCCCCCTCTCTAGGACAGCGGATTTTAGAGGATCAAGTTTTATGACTTCTCAGAGCCTGCAGGCAAACAGCATTTCCAGATAAACACTATGAACTATAAACCTCCAGTTGTCTGGGGACCAGACCACACAAGAAAAGCTCAGATTACTGTTGAATCCTCAAGTACTACTTTCTTCCCATTCCCTTCTTGGTCTGTCTGAATTTTACATGTGTTTCACTGTAGCACAGAATGCGCTATTAATCGAGGGAGAATATTTCACAGCCTTTGAGCAAAAAAGCTAAGTGTAAAAAATGTATTCCATGCCTTGTACTCATACATTTAAATTCCTCTTCAGCAAAACGAGGGAGCCTGCTTAAGACATTACATGTTTTTTTCTTACTTTGTTTCATTAAAAAAATCATTATTTCCCAAGGATCTCTAAACTGGACTTAGTTTAGATTTATTCAGGCCTCAGTTACTGAGAACCAGGGGTGAACAGGCTAACAGCAAACTGACTGTAAGAGGGAGAGACTAAAAGGGAAAGAGGCAGGTTTTTCACAGGGTTTAAAAGTAATACTGTAATCTAGAAAAATTACAGAGAAAATACTGATCTCTGTGCATCTGGCTTTGATCCCATTAAAACTTCAGCTAAACAAGACAAAATAAGTCCAGGGCTGGAAGAGTTCTGACCAATGCAGCAAAATCAGTTCTAAAAGGCATCTATGAAGGAGACATTTGTTAAATGTTAAAAACAAAGCACATCCCTTGTGTTGTATCCTCTCTACCCACCTGGTCATTTTGGAAAACAATAAAAACCCCAGCTCTTCCATAATAAAGCACTCACCTTGCCACAAGCACAGACCAAATTCTGAACATCATGATTCCTTTCCTCCCTCCTTTAATTCACCTGAGCTTTGCTCCACCTACCCTGCCCACTCTCCCAAGCGAATGCTTGCTCTTAATTAGGCATTATAACCCTGTCTAGCCTGAATTCCCCAAATCACAATCAGGCCTAAATAAAAGGTATTCAGCTGATCATGGCAAAACAAGCCATCTTCAGAGGTTGTTTCTTGAGACAAGAAACAAACAGTTCCATGCCCATAATGATATCATATACTGTTAGGCACTGTTGTTATTATTACTGATTCTCCTGATACACCATATCTGATGTGTATTCATGTGGCTGTATGTGCCAGATATGTTGGGGGGGAGGGCTGTATGCATTACATATGGGGACTTGGAATGCCCTGGAATATAAATATGAATGTACAGACTATATCCCATATTTCTTAGTCTCCAGCAATGAATCAGAAACTGGCAGTCAGTGCTCTGTTGGCTGCCTTCTTCCTGTTTGTACCTGAAAATTCACAGTATACATTCTTTCACTGAAGGAGCTGCATAAATATTGCTCTCTTAGTAAGAGCCATGCAAATCACAAGAATAAAACTCATTAGAATGCTAGGAATACTTTCTAACGATTTCAGGTGGGAACCTAAGTGTTAACAAATTGCTCACAATACCCTCAGCAGCAGGGTAAAAAGAATCCCAAATGAGAAGTCCCTTACAAACTTTTTCAGTGCTTTGATTAATGAAGCACAGAGGATTAGCTGGCTTGACAAGAAATGCACGTGAAATTCACACATAATCTGATATTTTCCTGAATAACTACGTAAATGAAAACAATGGCAGTTTGAAGGTGACTGGAAATAAAATTCCCAGGAGTGTTCAGTAATAGTCTTTCTCCATCCAAGTCCGAGACAATGGCAATAGATTATACCACAAAAAAGAGGCAGAACTGGGACAAATGTCCAGTCGCTGAGAAAAAAAATACTTGCAGTCTATTTCCAGCATGGCTGATGCTCTTGAGTCCCAGTTTGATTTCCAAATAAATGACTCCTGGAAGTCACCCTGTCCTGTCCAGGCAGCTTCTGAAGATCTCCTAGGAGACTCCCCAGCCTTCCTGGGCAGCCTGTGCCAGTGCTCTGCATATTTTTCCTTATGCATGGAGGTTTTTCCTAGTTTTGAAGTTTTTCCTGCCAGACTATAATTCATTCAGACTAAATATTTACTCGTAATTTTTGTGCACAAGGAGCCAAACTTCTTCACAATCCCTTTTAAAACAACAAAACCTTTATTACATGAACACCTGCTATCATCATGAACACAACTGTTTTTCCAAGATAATACCTAAGTATTATCTTGACAGATAAACAAGAGGATTGTTTTCCCTGCAGTATGATGTTTAGAGCTGCTATGGTCTGACTACCATCCAAAATAAATTCTCCTGTACTAGCACAAAACTGTTTATTCATCTTTTTTAATCCACACGCTCATAAACTTGCATACACATCACCTGATCAAAGCAAGTATGACTGCTGATATTCATCATCTTCTATTTGTAATAAGTCTTTTGCTTGCATAACAACCTAAGCATTTGAAATACAAAATGCTTGATTGAAGAAGAAAGTTTCCTCAATGGTTACTGTTTACATATTTTGAGTACGTGTGTCTGTGCCAGAACTGTTTTTAAAAATTGACTTTAGAAACATTCTGCTTTCCTAGTTGTTGTAATCTAGCTTGTATCCCTAATATCAAAAGCTGAACCATCCTAAACCATTTTCTTCATCTGAACATACTGCCTAGGAAAAAAATGAAAGCCCAGATTTTCCTTGTTTTTCAAAAGCATGACCTGACATTTTCATTGTTTTTTCCTCTTTTGAATTCTCCTCTATAATTTCTTCTCTTATCCTTTAAGCTTTACTCTAAAAATTTACATTACATTTACAGGATGTCATTTGCTTCCATTCTTTATGTACGCTTACTTTTTCATTTTGTGTATAGTTTTCAAAAACATATGATTAATAAACTAGTAAGAAATGAAAAACAGAGGAAAAATATAAATCGTGTGTGTGTATATATACATGTCCACATACATATGTGTGTATGTATGTGACCCACCCCAGTATTAATCTTCTAATGCTTGTTTCAAGTGTTTTCAGGGGATCAGAAGTATTATTGAGAAATAGTAACATTCTACTAGTTCCACAAACAACCTAATATTCATGCCAGAGATTGTCTGAATCTTAGAAATGATGTTTGCTGTATCTCATATCCTGTTCTTGATTCTTTTCAAATTCTTTTTTTCCTTACGTCTCTCACAGTTCATTCCATACACACTACAAGCCTCTCATTTCTTCTACATTTCGAAGTTCTTTATTGCTCTGTTTTGTTTTACTTTGTTTAATCCTGGCAGATGAAAATAAACTGATAAAGTCTCTGATTTTGCAAACTATTCAGTGCAAAGACTTCTGTGTGGTTAAGCAAATAATACATATTTCCTTGTATGGGGTCTGGTACCTGATGTCTTTATTCTGATGGAACAAGATTCCCAAGAGGATATGCAAAATTTTACAATGAATTACAAGTGTTTGTATTTTATTTTCCATGTGTTACAAAACTCCATATTTAACACACATCATATGCAATAATTCACTAATGGGCAGATATCTTGTTTGAGCAGATATCAATGGCTTCAATTATTCCTTATATGCTGAGATAGAATCACATGATACAGAATTGTTTTTCCAAACCTAGGACCAAGAAATATCTTGGTATTTTATAAAACGTATTTAGAAATTAAACTAGCCACATCTCAAAACATTAATAGAAATTAACACCTAACATTTCCAGCAATAATTTGGACTTTCTAGCTGTAACCTCAAAATCAAAAGAAAAGGGAAAAAAGTTTTTACTCTTCTTTGTTGTCCTGATCACAGGCTTTAAAGTCCCCTTGAAATTGGTCCTGTGACCACCATGCCAAGCAGTAACCAACAAGTTAATTGGATATTACAGCCTGCAGCTCTCCCAGTGCTGCAAGGTCTGAAATCCAGTTGGTCCTGGAACGAGTCTTTGCCTTTAGCAGATGATAACAGTCACGTTAGGAGACAGCCCTTCTGGTTCTCTCAGAGCTGTTGATCTGTTGATAAATGCAATCTCTAGCTTCTGAAACTAGAGTAGAGCTTAGCTCACTATATTTGAAAAGCTTCTGGGGTTTCAGATACAAACAGCTCCTGTTTACTTGTCAAATCAAGTCTAGATTTCAGCAGACAATGATAGCGAAAAGGTTACTTTCTAAACATCACTCCAATAAGTAAAAAAAGACAGAGCTGGTGCATATTTTAACCCTTGACCATGGAACAAAAGTCAGAAGTGCTAGAGAGTAATCAGTACCTTGTGGCGTAACCTTACGAGGGGCTGATAGGGCCTGATGTCATATCCTTCCTTGGCTGGCCATCCATCTGCTCCCAGCAAAATGCATCCAAGAAGTAAAACAGCCGACCACCACATAAACATCTTTACAGGTCTGTTCCTGTCAAAATAAAATGGACAACTTCCGTGACAAAGTTTATCGTTATTTTAGCACAAGTGATTTTCTTTTCAGTATTCAACACTCATATAAGATTTTGACTGATGGAGCAGCTACTCTAAACTCAATCTTAGCTTTAAGAGTAATATACAACACAATATTTAACACCATCTTCGTGTTTCACTAGGACTAATCCCATTCGGAATCTCCCTATTAATAAAATTCAAGGTTTCTTCTTGGTTATCATTGCCTTTCTTATTCTAACAGTGCCAGTTACATTTATTTTGTAGGCCAGCTCTTCTAATTTACTGCAAGAGGTAACTCTCAGAGGATATCTCTTGAAAAATAAGCTAAGCAGTGAATGATTTGAAACAATGTGCTCTATTACAGACAGACATTTTACACAAATAAACTAAAGTTTGGTCTTTCGTACCTGTTCAGTAACTGTATTTTAAAATGATCACTGAAAGTTCTCTTTTTGAGGTCCCCTCATGTCAAAACATAACTGCTAACGTTCCAGTTTATCTTTGACTATGAGGCTATTAAAACAAATCTGTCTCACTGACGTGAAAGACTGGAAAAGATTAATCTCAGAACTCTGAGACCTCAAGTTTACCATGGAATGGCATTTTTCTTCACCGACTCTGTGTTAGTTCACAGAGTAGTATCACTGAGAAACAACAAATCTATTACAAGAAAAAGTAATTAAAAGAAAAAAACAGAAGAAAAAAAAAAAAGGAAGTATGAAAGAAGAAAAAAAATATGTCTCATCTTGGCTTTTAATCTTGAAGAAAACAACCTTTTATTTCTGTTCATTGAAAAATATTTGAAAATAGTTTATTCTTAACTTTCAAGGTCAGAATCAGATTTTTTAGCAGTTATGAATACTAAAACTAGCTATGCACAGCTGAACCTTTGTCCCTTTTTTTGCACTTTTGGTATCTCTCTCTGGCCATCGAAAATTACTTTGGAGAACAGTCGTTCCACAAAAAATGACGAGGGCAGACACATTCCCCTACTCATCTAAATTTTAGCTTCACGTGGTGTAAAAGAATAGAGGTTGTACAGTTTGGGAAATTGTTTGACCCTGAAAGCCTTCTCCTTTGTACTGGTAGTAAAGAAGAAGTAGTTACTGCACTCTCAGTCTCTGACTGCACTGCCTGATGCTCGGATGAACACAAAAAGCTGACTTTTTAAATTCAGATTTTAAGACTCCATCTAAAATCCCAAAGCAGTCTAGGGTATCTACAGTCCTTATTTGCCTTTTCAGAAATAAAAAACACATTTTTTCAATATAAAAATTTTCTGTTGACCTTATTGCACAACTTACATACATACTTCTTCTCTAAATCGTACTACCAATATCAGAGTTCTCCTTAAAATAATGCTATTTTTATACCTGAAAGACTTTGAAATTTTGCTGTTTGGATAACTTTCTTCCATACTTTAACTTCACGTGTTACCCATTTGCATACTTCTTATCTGAGTTTTTTACAGTATGACAACCACTATTTTCAATTTCATTTTTCTATTTATTTAAAGTAACATGGATAAATTGAGTTTTCAGCTGTCAGAAGCTTTTTAATAAATCGTAACATGTGAATATGTGAATGACTACATTTAGCATGCTGCTATTAAGAGCACAGGATATTATATAAAATAATATGCTTTTTACAGGAATTGGAGGTAGGTGAACTTCAGCAATTTCAGGGTCAAAAGAGCGATGAATCATGTGTTATAACCAATGCTATGCAAAATTATTTCTCATCAGAAGCTGCTGTAAAGATTTTAAGCATGAATAAAATAAAATTAAGAAATATATAACAAAAAAAAAACAGAATTCAACAAATACAACTCTTCTAGAGCCCTTGAGTACAAGTAACTTTTAGACTTCTGTGCTGTTCTGCTAACGCTGGCTGAAAGAGTGGTGATAAAGTTCTACTTCCATTCTCAAGACAACTCATGTATACATCTGAAAATTTTGGAATGGATAGGGTAGGGCCAGGGGTGGGAAGTCTCAGAAAGCTATTAACAATAACTACCTCATCACATATCTATGAATACAAATAGATAATTTACAGCTACTTGTGGCATGTAAATAATTACTGTGTTTTCTTTTTTTCTGAGGTACATTATTTCGCTAATTAACAACGAGCTTCACCTGCTATTTTATAATTAAACTGATCATTACTGTGGGATCTTTCTATGCTATTTTCCATCAGCCCGAGATTTCCCTGAAGAGGAGGAACGAATTTAAAGATGAGGAACAGAAAATGGCTATTCCATGTTTCTGAATGTACACTAAGTTCTTCAAATTTAGATTTGCCTTTCTGATTGTCACAAAGCAGTCACATTCCTTTCTATCCCATTTCCAGAGCAATCACTAATCTGACACACAGTGCAGTTTTCTTGCTGTTGACTTCTCTCTATTTAAATTACTTCAGAAAAGTTTTGATAAATTATTACTCATATGAGGATTCTTTAACCCAATGACAAATTTGCTTCTCAAAACTTTCAGGCGAGGAACTCTGCTGGAACAGCTGTACCTTCTGAAATGGCAGTTGGATGGCAGAAGAAATACCTTAGGGCATTCCCTGTTGCCTCATTTAGGTATGGGAAGACAATGTGGTCATTCCTTTAGAAAAGCAACATGCTCTGCTCCATATTATTTGTGCTTTTTGTTACTGTTCTGTTCTCCTTCCACAGAATGTCCAAAATAATTATTATACTGAAAATCTCTGTCTAACAATATCCACTCTTACATTCAGTTTGCAACCCTCTGTAAAAAAATATCTGGCTGTGACTTATTCATCTTATGATGGTATACATATTCTTCAAGATGACTCTCATCTCTAAGGGAAAAAACAAAAACATACTATTCAGACCAGAACTGCAAAGAAGGAAGGTTTGGTCATGGCTTTCTACTGAAACTTAGAACGCCCAAATTGATTTATTTTATTTAATTACAGATTATTTTGCTTTGTAAAATAAGCAAAAGAACTAAAAATGTGGTTATTCACTATGCTTGGCAAAAGGCAATTAAACACAATTTTAGTCTGCTCAGTAGAGCAACAGGATGTTGGTAATCACCTAGCCTTCAAACTTTTCTGACTCTCTCAGAAGTGGTTTATGTAGCAGGTTAGTTAAATCACTATTATGTTATAAGGTAGTTAAATCACTATTTGAATTATAGACAAAATACCATGAAATTGTAAATTACCTCTTTACTTGGCATAAGATATTGATTTCACAGAATTAAACTGTGTGTATGTTTCCAATTCTCGTAACTGATGCCAAATAATCTTCAATGTTTCTATTGCACTCAAACCGTCAAATAGTACTAACAACATGGATGGGATTCAAACACGTATTTGAGGAAGATAGGCTTCTCTAAACTGAATATCCAACCTGTTTAACCATCACTAGCAATTTCAACATAAATTCTTTAATCAAAGGCACCTTTGAACAGATATACATCAGGACTTATACATTAGCTTCAACATACAAATGTACAAATCATAGGTATTCATGGCATCTGTTTCTGACCCTCATCGCCTACTTTATCTCAAAACTAATGACAGCTTTATGCACGTTAAGTAAAAAGGGAAAGTGCTTTGAAAATAACAAATTTACTGATAAAGCCACCAGCAAAGAACAAGTTACACAGAGTGGGAAAACACTGCTTGTACGTTCTTATTTTTTTTGAAAGGGTGTGTGAAAAGGCAGTATACCAATTTCCAAAACAAAACACACACACACACACAAAAAAAAAAACTAAAAAAAAAAACAAAAAACCAAAAAACAAAAACAAAAAGCCCACACATCAAAGAAAATGAAACAAGCAAACCAAAACCAAAGTTACACGAGAAGTTCACCCAATGGCCACAGTGATCCTTCTTGATGAGTTACTCATTCCTGAGAACGGGAACAACGTTTAAAATTCTTGAGAAAATGCAACTTTTGTCTCCATCTCCCTTTTCTTTCCCCTTAATGTTTCTCACTGTTCTGCTTTCCAGTATTTTGCAGAAAACGAACTAAACCTGGGTTCTGACACCTTCCTTACAAACATCTAATCATGATTAAAGTATCGTAGAATAATTTATTTCAAGCTTATTGTGCTAAGTCTTCTCAGCATTTTAGTGGTAATTTTTATTCTTTGACTCATTCCTCATTTGAAATTGATGGACTAAAAGAGATATTGCTACTGTAATAACTTAGCAAATATCTACTAAACAGTATTTTATATCTCCTCACAATGTAAGCTTAACAAATAGAGATTGAAAAAATATTGTGCTATACTCAACTAGTTCCAAATATGATAATGTATCTATATACAGTATGTAAAAGGTATAACAAAAGAAAGCATACTTAAACCACTGTTTATATGCTGACTAAAAACATATCTAAATATGCAAATACACCTCACTTAAAAGTGCGTATGCTTAAAATTAGTTTTTCTTACAAAGGAATTGTTTTCAGAATTCCTGACATTTATGCTATTGATTTGTGTTACTAAAATGTGTCCAGCCAAGACATTCAGTGTTAACAACTGAGACATAACTCATTTGAAAATACAGCCATTGTATCCAAATAAACTGATTTAATCAATACTTCTACGTAGGGCAATAAACGAAATCGGTAATAAATTAAATTTTAAATACCACCTCGAATTGTGTTCCTACCACCTTTTTTTTTTCTTTTCTGAAATGACACATTATGAATTAACTTGCCTTTATTTAAAAGGTCTTTTTAGCATCAGAAGCAATAGCTCAGTGTACCCTCATGACCCCATCGGTCTTCTTCACATACTATTCATATGAAGAAAAAAAAGCCAGGAAACTGTAATCAGTTGTCTGCTTGGTAAGGATCAAGAAAAAAAACTTAAGTTCCATAATCATATTCAGCGTTATTAATAGTTTGGTAATATAGCTACAGTAATAAATATACACCATGCTTCACTGACTATGACTTTGGGCACTTCATTGTA